TTTGTTTAAATTTAAAAGAGAAAAAAAAACACTTTAATTTTTATAATTCAATATTTTCTCACTTTTCTTATAAATTCAAATTTCTCAAATGTTTAGAATTTTGTATTTAGTTTTTCGTTGAATTAAACTCATATAATACATGAGTTTCGCTCTTAGTTGATGGAATAGTGTTGTATTCATATGATGTTAAATATTGCATTTACAAAAGTGACAATATGATATTTAAAAGATATTGAAAAGAAAATTTAATATCTTCTTCTATATTGTTTTTATTTATTTTCATATTTATATAAAATAATGACTTGTGAAATTCATTATTTTTCTTTTAATTTTGACATTTGTTTTAATCTAGTGAGTGAGAAGATAAATAGAAAAAAATAAAATGATATTTGATTCCTCTATTAAAAAATAAAATATTTTTTATGCATTTGTTAAAAGAAATGATAGTTCGACATGAACATATAAATATAATTAAATATATAATATATACTTTTCTTCTATTTTCGAATGAACATATCAAATGTGTATTATCACCGGTTTTTCTACAAAAAATCATATCTTTTGTCTTTGCATCCTATATATTTCTTATTTGCTATATTTCTTTATATTTTTGTTAATACTCATTTCTATGAATATTCCATGTTAAAATGTTGTTGTAAATTACTGTATACATATTTGTTTGTATATAATATCTCATAAATAATTTACATATTAGAGGAAATTAAAATAAAAATTAAAAAAAAAAAAAAGAAAGACTAGAGAAAGAAAAAGATAGTTTATCCGGAACATTGACTTGTGTACAAAGAAGTACCTATCAGCTACACACCAGCCTGTCATTCCAGTCTGATGATTTCCTGAAAACTAAACAGTATTGACCTCGAAACTTAAAAGTACCCTGCCACTTGTCCACTCTTTTGCAAATGTTTCTATATCCAAAATCCAAATAAATACCAACCTAATTTTCCATGAAAGTATAAAATAATATAATAAAAGGATATGTTATTATAATAAAAGTTGTAATTTTATTAATTCATGTAATTTGTTTTATTTTATACAATAAAATGTAATAAAATAAATAAATAAACCTTTTTTTAATAAAAGTTGATAAGAATATTACACTTAGAGATAAAATTAGTAGATAAGAAGGTAGAAGTATGTTAATTTGTTCTATGTAAATGTTAAAAATTTTATACAAAAATAGTGAATAATAATATTTGTATGTTTGTTTGAATAAATATGGATGAGGTTTTTTTTCCAAAAAAATATTGTTATTTAACATTATTATAAAAAATGTTACATAAATTGATATATGTTCGCAGTGACTATCTGCTTCTATTTGACTGTTTCGGTATTTGATCATTTTTTTTTGAAACAATAAATCTACTCTACTCCTAAACTAATCATTAATTCCATCAATGTCCACTGTGGGACTTGGACCATCAACCTCACGGAGGCAGGGCAGCATCGGATACCGCTAGACTAGAAGCCTTTTGACTATCTTGTTGTTGTAAATAGTTGAGAATTTAGTTATCTTCGCACACATGTTACACACTTTGGATCTTATTTTTTACCTAATCGATAGAAGTTTTTGGGTTATAATCAACAAATACTCCCCTGAAGAGATATCATTTTTATCCATACACAAAAAGGGAGAGAGATTCCTATTATCCTACTTTACAGATCGAAGCAAGAAGATCTTTCCGTAAATTATGGATCTTTCGATGAGTATTCCCTATTTGTTTTGAAAAGATCACCTCAGTTCGATTCTAAAGGAGTCACTTTGTTGCTATTCCCCTAAACCCTATCTTTCGAAATGTCGATCCAATACTTGGCCAATGTGGCTTATTATTTCGAAATGTCAGACCACTTTGAAACTTATTTCTTACATACTAGATCGATTGAAAGAAGTCTTTGGGTTATAGTCAACTCATAAAATGCTTTCCTAAAGAGATATTCTTTCAATCCGTAAATAGAAAAGAGGGAGAGATTCCTATTTTCCTAAAGACTCGATGGATTCTGTTGGAGACTCAAAGTGGTCGGATTCTTCTTGTGTTGGGTTGAGTTTTTTCAGCATCATTATTGATTTCTTATGTTTCAGTTGACGGTAAGCTACATATAAGGTATGGATTTGCAAAAGATTAAGCTTCGTAAATCGTGCATGAATAAAAATTTGTTGTATGAATGTTATATCAAAATCTGTAGAAATGACAAGAATTGAGTTTGGGATTGTGGGAATTGAGTATATGAAATTGAGTCTCAGACATTAGTTGTTGTTATGAGCCTGTTGCATAACTTTTCTTTTCTTTTGAACCTATAACATGGACATTTCCTGTTGGCGTGGTAAAATGAAAGATAAACAAATGTATTTATAAGGTTCAATTTAAAACAAAAAATAATAATAAAAAAATTAAAAGTGTCGGTTTTTTGATTTGTAGCCCTTGGCCAACAATCTTGAGGTGGAGAATGAAGCTCTTCCCGTTGAACCCGAGCTTGTCGGATCTTTGTTCTCATCAGTTCTGAAGAACCTGAGCTCCTTTTTCGTCCTTCCAGCAAAGTACTTTACATGTGAATTAAAAAAAATAACTATTTGAGATATCTTATTAATAAACAAATAATGAGTTTTTACCAAAAAGTCTTCTAAAATATAACATTATATAAATGCCATTTTATATTATTAAACGTTTATAGTTTATCTTATCATCTATTTTTAAAAAATATTATTATTTTATATGAATAAAACTAACTTTTACCTAAAAATTAAACTTAAGTTAAAATATACATTTTAGATTAAATGAATGTTTGATAGTTGTTGATTAAATTAAATTTTATTGGCCGACCGGATAAAAGACATATCAAGGGAGCCATAAGGCTATCCAGAATGGGCATTAACCACATGTGAGTTTCCTATGTGGCAAGTCAAGTAACGCGTGAACACTACCCTGGTGTCCGGTGGCTTGGCTGTGATGTGGTTGTGAAGACGGGAGGAAACGACGAATAAGAAGCAAACAACTTTCAACAGTCATGATCACACCCCTCCATTTCTTCTTTTAAATTTAATGACAAAAGAATAAATAAAAAATGAAAATATAAAAATTATGGAGCAATAATAATTTTCAAATGCTAGTGGTTTGAACTGAAGTAATGAATTGACAACACTTTTTTAATAGATTGGTTGTGGACACTCTCCTTAACCTAACCGAGTCTGGTTTCAAGCTTATAAATATGGTATAAAACAATCGGAATTTAAGTCACATACCAAATGAAATATATTTTTTTTCAAACAACAACTAAAAACTAATTAACTTTAAACCAAAAAATATATATATATTTTTAAAATTTTTATTAACATTTATATTTACGTTAAGTGAAACTTTTTGGACGGTAGGATAATATTGGAAATGAAAATAAATAAAATTACCTTGATAAAACACAAGAGTAGTGACTAGTCTGTAGTCGTACTATATAATAATTTTGGTGTGTTTGTGTTTGTGTTCATCCCTCCCACACCGATTAAAAAGAAAGAGAAGAGAAGAGAAGATCACACGACTTTTTCTGCAACTAGAAGAGGAACACCAACAGAGTTTTTCTTTTTCTTTTTCTACGAGTATTTATTAATCCATTTATGATCTCCCAGCTTTGTTTAATTCAATCCAGTATCCACCCAACTGTTCTTTGTTGTTTTGTAAGTTATCATCAATTCGATCCCATCGAAAGCTAGCTATTATATATCTACCCATAAAGAAGAAAGAAGAATCGATCCAGAAAAAGGAGAAAGTGAGAGAAACTTACAGAAGAAGAAGAAGATGGTGTTGGGATGGAGAAGAGCTTTTTGTACTTCCGTCCCTCGGGAACGTGATTCAACCTCCATGACTGAAGAAGAGTTTGAGTATGAACATGTTATTGACAATGGGAATGGAAGTAGTTGTGGTACTACGAAATTGGGTAGAAGATTTGGGTTCTTTTTGTCTTCTTCAAATCCATCTACGCCTCCGCTTCGATCTCAGTCGGTTTCTAGTCCGAGCCTCCGTTGTCGGACCACCGTAAAAGTACCACCGGCTCCGTCGTCATCTGTTCCTGTCAGTCCGAAGCTTCATTGCGAGACGAAGAACAGCCCTCGGTGTTTTCTTCGGTCGTCGACTCCTTCGTCTCCTCGCTCTCCTTCTCCGTTTACTTTCCTCAAATCGAGTCTTCGCCTTTGCACTGTAAGTTTTGTTCATTGTCGTTGAAATTTGTACATTTTGGTGATCATCGATTGTGATATACTGATATTGATCTGGTTTATGAATCTGCAGCGTAGATGTGGATTATGTTTGCAGAGCGTGAAGAAAGGGAATGGAATGGCGAGTTTCACGGCGGAGTGTTCTCATTGTTTTCACTTCCCTTGCATCTCCGATCATGTGAAGAAACAAGGGAGCCTTGCTTGTCCTGTTTGTAGCTGTTTGTGGAAAGATATGCCTCTGTTGTCTGTAGATGAACAGAATCAGAAGCATCAGTTCGTTGAGGAAGAAGAAAGGATCAGGGAAAAGCTAGCTACGCGATTCTTCATGGAAGATGTTGCTTCCAAAAACGAATCTCCAAAGCAGCAACCATTGAATTTCAAGGTTTATAACGATGATGAGCCATTAGCGTCACTAACTCCTAAAGCTCGGTTCATTGCTATTCCAGAATCTGATGAAACTTGCGATGAAGAATCTATCGATGAGTTTCAAGGATTTTATGTTAATGGAGGTAATAACACTCCAGTTGATGATCATGCAAGAGATGTTGATGTTCGTCTGTTACCGGATGCGGCAGTGATCGCATCTTCACGGAGGCACGAGAGTTACGCGATTGTTCTGAAGGTAAAAGCTCCACCGGCGCCGGAGAAAACACAACGCAGAGCTCCAATCGATTTGGTCACTGTCGTTGATGTCAGTGGTAAAATGACATGTGAAAAGCTACAGATCATCAAAAGAGCAATGAGATCAATTGTTTCAGCACTTTCATCCAAAGATCGTCTCTCAATTGTCGCATTCTCATCGTACTCCAAGAGGTTATTACCATTGAGGCGAATGACAACGACGGGCAGACGAGCAGCGCGTCGTATCGTGGAAGCCATGGCCGTTCTCGAAGGTTCATCAAATTCAAAAGACGCCGTGAAGAAGGCCGTGAAAGTTCTAGAAGATCGTCGAGAGAAAAACCCGGTCGCCACCATCATCCTACTCTCCGAAGTTCTCGATCAATCATCATCCATTACCTCGGCGCGTTACTCTCACGCGCGTCTCGACATTCCCATACATTCACTCAACCTCGCCGTGACTGAAGTTCACGTATTCGCGAAATGCATAGGAAATTTGCTCAGCGTGGTGGTTCAGGATCTGAAACTGCAACTAGGATTTATCTCCGGTTCCGCTCCGGCGGCAATCGCGGCGGTTTATTCACGTACACCACAACCGATCGTCCTTGGATCCGGTGCTGTACAGATCGGAGAATTGTCTGCCGATGAAGAAATAGAATTATTGATTGAATTGAAAGTGCCATCGTCGGCGTTAAGGTCCCACCAAATACTATCCGTGCGATGCTGTTACAGGGAATCAACAAGTCAGGAGCTCATCTATGGTAAACAACAAGCTTTGCTTGTACCTCGGCCGAGCACCGTCCGATCATCGTCTCCGGCCATCCAACGGCTGCGAAACCTTTTCATCACAACTCGAGCCTTAGCCGAATCAAAACGGCTAACCGATCGAAACGATCTCACCGGCGCATACCACATGCTTGTCTCAGCTCGTGCCTTAATGCATCAATCCAATCCAGCTTGTGGTAACGAATTTATGCTCCGTTTAGAAGCGGAGATAAGCGACCTTCAACGGCGGCGCAAGGTTCAAGCACCGTCTCCGGCTCAGCAAGTTGGACGGAGAGGCAGGGTGGCGGATGTGGCGGCGTATACGGATGAGAAAGGTGAGCCGTTAACGCCGACGTCGGCTTGGAGAGTGGCGGATCGGCTGGCTAAAGTTGCGATGATGAGAAAGTCGGTAAATAGAGTCAGCGATTTACACGGGTTTGAAGATGCGAGATTCTGATGAAAATGAAAAATGAAAAATGCAAATAGTAATTTTTATGACTTTGCTTTTAGGTCCTTGTTTTTTCTGTTTATTACAGTTTTTACCCTCCAAGAATGCAAAGTTATTAAAAAAGGAAAAATAATAAGTAGTGTGGTCGGATTGAGTATAATATCGACAAAGGGTACCCGACGATTTGAGCCTTTTATATGTAGCAAACTAGCAATCAATTGGAATGAAAAGGAAAACAAGAGAATGGGTGACAAAAGCTATTGAAATGGAGGGGCCTCTATGTCTTTTTGTCTTCTTTTAGAATTCCATTATATGATGATTATATTTCATTTGGTTTAATGGGAAGAATAGTTGTACATTATCTTAAATGGAAACCTTTTAGCTTAAAGCAATAGTTCTTAACAATATAGATATATATTAAATCTAATAAGAAGTTAGAAAATCAACAATTATAATGGAAAAATAATTATGATACGATTTTATGATCAACCAACACAATTGAGTTTTGTTTTAGACATTTTATTATATATATATATATATATATATATATATATATATATATATATATATATATATATATATATA